GCGCTTAGATGCAAACTGTGTTTAGACGTAAACTACGCTTAGACGCAAACTGCGTTTAGACGTAAACTGCGCTTAGACGCAAACTGTGTTTAGACGCAAACTGCGCTTAGACGCAAACTGCGCTTAGACACAAACTGTGTTTAGACGCAAACTGCGCTTAGACGCAATCTGCGCTTAGACGTAAACTGCACTTAGATACAAACTGTGAATTAGCTTTTGCATCATAATAGTTTTTATTGAACGAACGTAGCTTTTGGTTTTAATCGCTGTAAGATTTCCGCTGCACTAATTCACTCCCCCCTCTTAGTGCTCTCGATCCTAACACAAGAATTTCTAGCGTGGACATCATGAAAAGAGGCAAACTAGTTAGCTTGCACAATTCAAGACGAAAGCAAAAATTCCACTTCTCAAAATAGAAGAAATTACTATCTTGAACATCACCGATAATTACTAGCTTGAAATCTCAAGAAAATGCAAAAATGTTCTATCTTGCCTATCTCAAGATGCTAATCATGCTAAATTTGCACTTTGCAATGAAAACAAAATTGCGAGCTCAAATATTACAAAGGAAGCAAAAATTTGCTAACTTGCAAACTTGCATATTTCAAGAAGCAAGAGTTGCTTTCTTGAACATCTCTAAATTGCTAGCTTGCATGATGTAGAACTTGCTATCTTGAACATTACCAAAAGTGCTATCTTGTATACTGTAAAACTTGCATATCTAAAACTTGATAGCTTGAATGTTCTAAGCATGATGTAACACTTGCTAAATTTTCTAACTTCAAAATTGCATGATGATAAAACTTGATACTATGTTTTTCATGTAATGAATAGTTGGACTTCTCCTTTTTGTTGATGACAAAGGGGGAGAAGTATGATGTTATGCATAAGTTTATGCATAAGTTCATGATGACGTGTTGCAAGTATTCATAATGAATATTGCAATGACTTGAATTCAGTTTGAATTTAAGGTTCTATCAATATGGCATATTGATAGGGGGAGTTTGTTTAAACTTCGGGAGTTAAGTTTAGAATTCAGTTTGAATTCAAGGTTCTATCAATATGGCATATTGATAGGGGGAGTTTGTTTAAACTCCGGGAGTTAAGTTTAACTTCATCATCAATTGGTTGTCATCACCAAAAAGGGGGAGATTGTTGAATCTCGTATTGTGATGATGAAACCACTTGATATATGTTTATGATTTAATATGCATTTTGAGTGACACAGGATGCTTCGATCAGGATGAGACAATTAAAGCAGAAAAAATCATGTTGTGCCGAAGGAACATGTTAGAAGATTGGACGCCGAGCCGGTGGATCGGTCGACGTATCGATAGAAGGCTTCGGGTCGTGGACTCAGGCATCGGGCCAAGAAGAGCGAATATTATGCCAAGGATATCGGAGTTACGGAGTCAACTGGCCGATTGGGCAATAGGCTGCAGGAGAGGACGATGCGTCGAATAATCGGACGAAGCATCGAGGGACCAATGACATGCCGGACAACTTGGTTAATTGCTTAGGATTAATTGTCTCGATTGAAGTTTTGTTTTACATGTGCAGGATTAACTACGATGGAAGTAAGACATGCAGCAGGAGTTGCGCCAGAGTCAAGACTATGATCACGTTGGGAGTTCGAGAGTTTGACGGAAGTCCGGACGGTCGTCGGAGATTCCGCGGGAACAAATCCGAGAAGTCCAGGAGCTTACCAAAGAAGCTCGTAGGAACTCGCCAAGTGGATCATCGCAAAGTCTAGGAGTTTGCCGGAAGTCTGCCATAGCATCACCGAAGGTTCGTCGGATGTTCACCGGAAGTTCGCCGGAAGAAGCGATTGACGCACCAAAGCAAGTTATAGTAAATGTCTTAAAAAATATCGTAGTTAGTATGTAGATTAAGGTAGGAATGGGAGGTGATCCCATTAACTTAATCCGGGAGCAATTGGGCCCTTGATATACCCAAATTAGGCCGAATGGATCAACCCATTCGGACCAGAATTCGTGCCAGGCTGTGGCATCGCCTGGGCTCAATCTCCGAGCAAGACTGGGTGGTGCAACCGCCCCGGTCAAGCGGTGGCACCGATTGTGCTTAGTCTCCGAGCGAGATTGGGTGGTGTAACTACCTACGCTCGGTCTCCGAGCTCTGCCAGGCGGTGCAACCGCCCCTGTCAGGCAGTGGCACCACCCAAAGGCTCAGTCTCCAAGTTGCCATGCGGTTGTACCGCCCCAATCAGGAGGTGGTACCGCCAGGACCCCGGAAATCCGGGAGTTGACATTTTTGAGCTCCAAATTCAAACCAGTTTGGAGCCTATAAATACCCCTCCCATCCTTGGGTAAAATACACAAGCACAGAGAAATTAAAAGAGAGAAAACTCTGCTGCAATCTCTAGAATTTCCCTCCTCTAGCTTAAGTGTTAGAATTCTGTTTAAGAGAGGAGAGTAAGTGCTTGTAAGGGTTATCTCCTAAACCCAGTAAAAGGAGAAGAGGGGTGTAAGAAGGAGGTTGATCTTCTCCTAGTAAAGGAAGATCGTTAGTGGATGCCGGTGGCCTCGATGGAAGAGAAATTGAAGGAGTGGATGTAGGTCACGATTGACCGAACCACTATAAACTCTCGTCTTCTCTGGTTTGTATTTATTCCTACTGCTTACCTTACTGCAAACCTCCATATATGCTTTACTTCCTTATTACTTTTGATGCACTCATTTACGAACTCGCTTTCAAATTAAATTTCCGAAAACGGTTTTACGTCGGAAACGATTTCGTCGTACGAATGCAGTTTTAAATCGTCGAAAATTTTTCGCTGCACTAATTCAACCCCCCCCCCTCCCCCCCTCTTAGTGCTTTGATCCTAACACACTTATCGAATATGTGGATCAAATTGTCTAATCACATGTTTAATTAAAGATATTTTAAAATATATTAAAAAATCGATGGATCAACTGATGTGATTCCTAATATTTCCAGTCCACCCAGTTCGGTCTGGTCCCGGTGAATGTAAGCATGATGATGTGATTTATGATTGCGGACATGACCTTACAATGATAACTTTATTATTTGAGATCAATCATATATATTATTTTTAAATCATTGATTCCTTTCCATTCATAAAATACGAAAATGATTTGTAGCCTCATTGTAATAGAAGGTAAGAGTAGCCTTTAAGACCAAGGGTGTTTCAAGATCAGAAAATAATATAACTTATGATTCCATTATTGATGTATTGAACTCTAGTAACATAGACGTCAGCTACATTAATCAAACAATGGAGACATTGAAGACTAGGACGACTATTTAGTGTACACACAGAAGATGAAAGACAACTAAGGAACATATATGTAGTCTTGCTAAATTTTTGCTCTTCTTCTACTTTTCCAGATCGAACGCAGACACCGGGAAGCTATCAGAGAACCCGGTGCCAGTCTTGAAGGTGATCTTATCAGAAGAGGGATCGTCCATGAAGACTTCGACGACAGAGAGCCAGAGAAGTAGCTCCTTAGTCTTCACACCTATGATCTTCTTCATCTTGCGCTGCTCCAAGAAGGCAGTGACCTCGGTGGCATAGGAGACATGCTGCTTGATCTTCTTGAATGTGTGTTCTATCTTCTTCTTCTGGACGATCCACATGAATCCACTTGCGCGGTGGTAGCCGAACTCCTCGACGTCCTCCAGGGGTAGCAGTCCTTTAGGAAGGCCCAGTTCTTGTAGTAGTTGCATGGATTTCTTTTTGCAGAGGGCATGATCTCCATGATAAACCTCGGCCCCAGCCTTGTAGCTCTCGATCATCTGCATCGCCATCCTCGCTAACTTGCTTGGACTATGATCACCAAGAAATGAATTAACGAAGAAGACGAAAGCTTCAGGTGATGACAAGGCTCAAGACTGGTGGTGAAAGATGGAGGAGAGGTGGAAGAATTTATAGGCAACGTGCGGGACTGCTGCCACACAGTGTTTGGATCAACGCATTGGCTAAGGAAGTCAACTTCGATGGGCTACATCTCGCTGCATTCTTGACTTTGGATGATTTAGCTGTGAGTGCTTGAAATCGTCTCCCTTGGAACTGACGTCCTAACGTAAATGCAACGTAGCATTTATGTTGCAAGCGCAGTTTGGTTCGAAGTTGGACGTCCACGCCAATCTCTACGTTTAGTTGAATGCATGTTAGTGGAAGCAAGACCGGTGTAATAGATGCCTTCAACAAGACGCTATAATGACATCGCGGTCAACTTGAGGCTGAGTTGCCGATCTTTTCGATTTGTCAACGTCGGATTTCGCCTTAAACTGGCCGAGCTTCTTCAAT